TTTTTGATTATCAAGATATTGTAAAATAGTAATGATAATATAAAAAAGAAGAGAGTTCTTTCAATTGATTAATTCAGGATACAATTAAATAGTCTCTTGATGAGATAATTTGTATTTCTGGATTCAAATCAATGAAATAACAGTTCCTGTCCCCTGAAGGTCTTCAGAGACAGGTTGAGGTCAGAGGTCTAGTTCACTACAGTTTTCTTCTACAAAAAGCTAAAATACTTAGATTTGAGTAGAACAACAAAAAATAGTACAATTACATTAAGCATTGAATGCAGACCTCCCTGGTGTAAAGCAGAAACATTCACTGTTACGTTAAGCAGGACTCGGTGCGGTCAGGCTTCACTAGAAAATAAAAATGAATCCCAGTTCCACTGCTCCAGTCTTCATGTATACCCACCATGTGTCAGAGATTTAATAGACTGAACTACTATTAGGCTAATGAGAGCATGACATGAATTTTGATTTTGATGGGTACAGAAGTTCCTTCACATTACTGTGTTAACTTTAGTCACTTGTTATGTCTAGCCACAGACCCACACTCACCATGCCTTTGACTCCCTCCGGGAAGAGAAATCTCTTGTAGATTGTGTTAACGGTGTCATTTGCATCAACGTCACACTCTCTCTGTAGCAGGATTGGTCCTGTGTCCAGCCCATCATCAGCCCAAAACACCGTGAAACCACCCTTTTTGTCACCATGGATTAGCGTCCTGCAAGGTTCAGTTCAGCAGGTGAAAGTCTATCTGCCACCATATACCCTCCTAAACCTCATCCCTGAACAAAATAGGCATAACTCACCAATTGATTGCAGAGGCTCCTCGGTGGCGAGGTAGCAGAGAGGGGTGGTAAATGATAGAACCTTGTTTGGGGTAGTCAATGACCTCCATGGGGATGAACTGGGAGCAAAAGGGCAGAACATTGAGGTCTGCCTTGGTAGCCTTGTACTGATCCACCACTTTTGGGATGGCCTGGCCTTTCACTCTCCAGCGGGGGAACTTGAATACAGGGACACCATCCTTCTCTGCCTCTGTGGCTGCAGTTGGAAGAAAGATCATACATGACATAAAAATAAAGACTACAGCTGCAGCAAATTATACATTCAGCCAATGTTCTCCAAAAATCAAATGCTGTTTTATTGTGAAGGTACGTAAGATTAAAGGAAAAAGATAACTATTTTTTATTATGTTTAATAAATGCTAAATGATTTCCCATAACCTAACATTTTTCAATCAGGTCATCTGGACAGTTTCTTTTTTTGTGCTGAAACGTTTCACCTTCGATCCGGAAGGCTTCATCAGTCAAGGAAACACACAACAAAACTGATTCTTCCCACTTGACTGAAAAATGTTGGATTGTATGCTTGGATTATTGAGCATGGACTTTGTTGTTTTCAACCAGTTTGACAAGACTGTCAACAAGGAAGAGGGCCAGCAATGGAGGAGGGAGCATACCAAAGACACCATCTTATCACAAGCAGAACTGGTTTGTTCCACTTTGGAGTAAGCTGTTGGGGGAAGAATCAGTTTTGTTGTGTATTTCCTTGACTGATGAAGTCTTCTGGACCAAAGGTGAAATGTTTCAGCACAAAAAAGAAACTGTCCAGATGACTTGACTGAAAAATGTTGGATTGTATACCTGGATTATTGAGCATGGACTTTGTTGATTTCCCATAACATTTTTTTAAAGTTAAGTCCAATCAAAAGTTTGAAGCAATGTTCTGTCTAATAATTATCAAAAGTTGGTACTTTATTAGCCATGACATCTATAATAGAGCACTGATTATGATAATGAGTACTGAGAAAGAGGCAAAAAGGCTTATAATTTTTAATGGCTACTTTCTAGCCAAATGAGTGCAAGTGGTTACTGAACATATTAATATTAGTATGAGTAATTAGCCCGTCTTGTCAGTAAAAGATTTACTCATCCCCTGGCAAAATGATGTATTCTACAGCCTCAGTAACATTATCATGCTATCCACCTTATCTCTGGGGCTCTACTGTATAGAGCTTTAGAGCTTGACGTCACTTGACCGCGGCGCGGTGGCTGATGGGATAGGATGGGGCCGGATCCACCATATTTACTGTCCTCAATATTAACTGTCGAAAACAAGCTTTATCGCTGACTTAAAAAAAAAAAAATCTAAGTAGGTTAAAATAGTTTAGTGATGTTCCAAAATTGCTGCGTTACTGGATGTAATGTCCAGTCACAAGACTTTGCCATCTTTTTAAGGTGTCACATAAAACTCTGTCTAATACCTGTGCCTTTCTTTTCTTTCCAAGGGATGGACGTCCATCAGACAAGCTCATAACAGAAAGATGTGGCCTTCTCTCCAAATTATTACCTGGGGACGTTGTGTTAGCTGACAGAAGCTTTGATATTAAAGACAATGGGGAGTCAAGGTTCTTTATTGGCATAAGCATCGCATGTTGTACATGAGGTGGAACAAAACTGTGTACACTGGATCCCAGTTACATCCAGCAAAAGTATAAATGAATGATGTGCTGAGGTTAAAATCCCATCATTCACTAAAGGGAGATGTCAACTTGATGCTAAGGATGTGAACACACATGAACACACCTTAGAATTCATGTGGAAAGAGAGATTGGTTACATGAGAAACAAATAAACAATGTTACACAGAAATATACCAGTTAACTTATACTGGTGCTTACATGTGAGGGTGAAGAGGTGACACTTCTTAAGATTGTGTGTGCGTGCTGCACTTTAGTGAACATGTGTTATAGTGTGGTTGTAAACCTAATGCTAATGTAACCTTCACATGCTGCTACTGATATATGTAAAATGTAGATTGGAGAAAAAATTATATTTGCTGCACTCATTGATTTGAAATATATTTATAGTTGAATAATAACATGTGGTTGTATTTTCTCATTTAATAAAAATTTATGTGGTAAACATTCATGAAACATTTAATTCAGCACTTCAGGTAACATGTAAACATGATGAAATTTATCACATTTTTAGTATTGTATTAACATATTTCAGGTAAGAAATAAACATGTAATGAAACAGATCCTATTTTCAGGTAAATATTTTATTTAATTAAACAATTCTAGTAACAAACGTGATGAACATTGTGTGAGGTAATACATTTCATAGAAAATTGCTACACAAAAATGTGCAAATATAAGTTAACAGCATGATTTACATATTTATGTTTCCCTTGAAGCTGGAGTACAAGCGTGCTCTGAGAAATGTCTTTAAGAAGCTTTTTTTTTTTTTTTTTTTTTAGCTTTGTGCTTTCTGTAGACATGCTTCCCAGAATTCCTGTTCTGGAGACACACGGACAACAGCCATGTCTTTCTGGGTCAACACAAGGTCACCGTGGTTTGATTATGTACCTGTGCATAGTATGAATGATGTTTCTTCAGGTGAAGTTCATTGCCTGCCTCCACAGCCTGCTGGATGCTGCATGTCCTATATTTGTAAAGAAACTTTCTCCAGGCAGCAGCAATCACACATTGAGTCCATCAGGAGATGCTCCAAGTTCAAGGATGTTGGTATTTATGATGAAACTACTTTTAACTTTTGGATTTTAATTCTAGCTGGAATTTTAATGTAGGCCTTTTGCACATTATCCTCAAAAAAGTGTATTTTAATAAACACACAAACACACGCACACACACA